CCAAATATAGTAAGAGCAAACTTCGACATAATATGCAGTAGATCTAAACTTCTTTCTCAATATAACACTTGTTAAAATTAATCACAATTTTCAATTGTCAGCAAGGACCTGAGGAAGGGCAGCTGCTGACGTCACTCTGCTGCCCCCGCTGCTCAGAATGCTTTTTCGTTTTCGAGTTATGGACAGTACTTTGCTGGCAGACCATGAAAACGAAAAAGCAATGTCTGCTGTGTTTTCTCTTTGATTGTGGCATAAAATGTGCAGTCTTAAAGAAGAAAATGCAAATGCAAATAGGATGATTGATTACAAATTTCATTTATGAGTCAAGTAATGTAGCCACATTCTTAAAATGAAAACGCATAGAAAAGGTAGAAAAGTAGACCTAAGGCTGGAAGACTATGCTCATAAATCACAACCATAAAACAGCAAAACAATAACTCTACTTACAATAACTAACTATCTGAAGATATAAACTAAAGGTCACCGATCAGTTCTAAAAAAATCTTTAGGCAAACACATGTTGATCATTGGAGAACCGCCTTGTCAGATTAGCACCTTACAAGGAGTTTTTAATCACTGTTGAATTTTATATGAGGCTATTTACTCATGCCAATGGTCTGTCTTACTTTATAGATTTGATTCATGTTAACCAATTTAAATGATTAATTAGGCATCCCATAAGAAGAGAATAACTATCTTTACATATTTTTAGGCCTGTATGTTACAAATACTGCCTCACTGTCATCACCAGAAGTCTTGTTGAAGTCTCATCAGTTTTAACTCCACCAACTGACATTTGTCAGAATTTGTTCACATTTGTGAACACCACCCTGTGTATATTTAAATCTCTTCTGCAAGTTTGATTTATCCTGGGCGTGATCCATGTATATGTATTTGGAATACTGAGACTCTTTAAGCATCTTCAATAAGCCCTTTGTTTGAAAGAACACATTACTGATCTTTTAAAATAACGGATACATTTGTTTCTTGTCAATACCCTGGTAGTATGGTTTTCATATTCAAAGTTAACGGCCATCAAAAAAATTTTTTAATACAAAATTTGGAAAAATCTGACTTAAATTAAAATGTGTAAACCCTGAAAGAAGCACCAGTTTTCTTAAAATAAGAAAACATTTAAACAATCAGGCACGTACATGCAAATACTCAGAAGGCGATTGAGGATTGTCTAACGGCATGTTTACAATAACAGTTCTGTCTCCAGCTTTTTCAGTGTAGTTTAGGTTTAGCTGCCTAATCAATTCGACCACATGGTGCTCATTTACTGTTAAACTACAGTTAAAATGAATTTTTTTCTGTTTATCAAGGTCACGACTCTAACTTGTTGTTTTGTCTGTTTTTCAGATGTTCATTTCCTGAGCTTCTTTCCAACACTGCTGTGCTGTCTGGCATTAAAGGAAAATGTAAAAAAGAAGAAACTAGGAAGCTTTAAAAGAAGTAAAAGATATGATTTACAGTATATACCACACCAGCAGAGATGGTTAAAAATCACTGAGGAATGAAAAAAAATAAGTACTTACTTATAACAGAGACTAGCATCTTGTAAAGGTTTTTGATTGCTGTGAATAATTGAAGAACAATTATATAAAACAATTAGCAACAAAAGTTACTGTGATTTTATTAAGGTAAAAGTCAATAATTCATAGACGTACCTTTGCTGAAAACATATAAGCAGGAAAATACCAATGATAACCATCATCAGCATCAGGAATGCAAGAATTAAAGGCCATCCTGGAGAAAGAAGATGAAATTTTTCATCAACAGAAGTGTGGGAAAAAGACTAAACAACGTGAGAATCGGAATATAAACTTACTGGAATCTCTGAGAGATGATCCTGATTGTTTTTCCAAACCTAATAAAACATAAACAGAAAATCACAAACAGGTCTGCAGTTCATAAACTGAGCCTAAACTATTCAACTTTTACAGTTTTAACATTTTCTTGCGATAAAAGCTCAAACATTTGGTGAGATTTTATGGGGTTAAATTTGGTCTTCCCCTTCAGAATATTAGCTGATTGTCTAAAACTCAATAAAGTTCACTAAGTTTGGCTGTACCTTCACAAAATGTGGCAAAGATGAAGGGATATAAACAATCTCTACAAATAGTTGTATCTTTGAGTCTCCAAAAGCTCCTCACCATCTCCAGATGTTTCTTTAACTCCAGGAACGGTGATCAGCTTCTCTCTGGGAGCAGCAGAGAGCACTGACACTGAACATCCAACCTGTGTGC